AGGAGATATTTACTAAAACTGGAGCAGGCAGAATCTGGAGCAGTTGTACATAGTAACCAATCAGCTTCTAGCCTCAGCTTGTTCATTTTAAAGAGTGCGTGATCTATGTACATTTGCAAGGATTTTAAACAAACTTTAATGCAGATTCCTACCTTTTTGTTGTGCTGAAGAAATAATTTGAGTGTGTCCATGTGCAGAGTGAATCTGTATGGGAATGATTATATAATTATCAGCTGCTGCTGCCCTTGCGGTTCTAATGAGAAAAATTGCAGGGTTTGCATCCCTTTAGATGTCATTTTCTCTTTGTGAGTATCTCACCAAAAATTACATTTCCTGACAGCTCCATGTCAGCACAGCTTTTGCTTACCCAGCTGTGCTGACATGGATCTCATCAGGAAAGGAAAATTACAGGAAGTATCTGTCATTCAATTTTCTTTTTTTTGTTACAGGGGATGCCCAAAATCAGACTTGCATCTTAGCGCAGACTTCTGGGCAAATCAGTAAGCCAATCACACAAGCAGGAAATTGCATTTCTGACTGGCGTTTTGTACACCATCTGTGTACAATATGCCTCCAGGTTGTCATATTGCATTTTACAGAAAATGCAGTTTGAAAATTAAAGAATTTTTAAATTACATTTAATTACAAAGTGGAGTTACTCTTCAAGCTTTGGTTGTCATACACAGCTGCTCCAGATTGCCTGCTAGAGTCTTAAGCTGGCCATACACTATTAGAATTTTGGATAAAAAATATTTTTTTTTTTTTTAGTTTTCTGATAATGGCGATCAATTTGACATTTGTTTTCAACTTCAGCAACAAGAAAATCTGAAGGAGCACAATGGAACATTTTTCTTAAACGAATTTCTAATGGTGAATGTGGTTTTCATTTGGAAAAGTCCATTCGCTCCAAAATCAAATTTAAAAGCAAACATTTTTAAAGTTCTTTAGAATGACATTTTGCCATGTCATTGAATGTATTAATAAGACTTTTTGTATGATTATTTGTTAAAAAAAAATAAAAATTTACTTGGTTATTGTCAGCTTAATCATTTGCTGACTGCGCGCAATACTGTGGATGGCTGGCAGCTACAGGCAGAGCGGCATACCGGTAAGTTGCTCTGTCTGTACAAACACGGGAGTGCTGCACTCTTTCCCTCCCCACCCCCTTCCCTGCAATCCCAGTAAACAGGACCCAGTGGTCACATGATTGCTAAGCAAGTAAAGCTGTTATGAGTCAATCTAATTCTCAAAAACCCAAAAATCACTCAGAGAACAAAAAAAGAAATTGAATGGGTACTCAAGGGTAGCTTACTGTTAGTAAATTAAAATTACACACAAATAAAACAAAAAATTAACAAAAAACATCCATGCCCATGGGTTTACAATTCATGTAAGTCACATAAATATTTCCAAGAGATTTATGCTACAATATGGTTGTCATAGGTTTACTGTCAACACGTTTCGCAGTATAGAGTAACCTGCTTCTTCAGGACCTTGTGTTTCCTTATGACAATAGAACATAAATAAATTGTACTCTTGATTCTAGAATAATCAAATAAATGTTACAAGCATGGCTATATACATAATCAAATGAACCTTTAAAATGAAGATGTCTCCACCAGCAGGAGAGGAGGAAGGAAAGAAAAAAAAAAAAAAAAAACGGTGGGGGGGGGGGGGGGGGGGGAGATACTTACAAAGAACACATAAAGGAAAAATAGCAAGAGTGAAGAGCCATCACATAAATCCAGGCTGTGGGAAGGCAATTAGGAGCCAGACAGAAAAGGAATGTTCCAAAGATATGTGGGTCCATAAATACACTAACAAAAATAGATGTAAAATACAAACTAGATATACATTGCTCAAAAAAAATTAAAGGAACACTTTGAAAACATGGGGAAAAATATCATGCTGGATACCTATACTGATATGGACTGGGTAATGTGTTAAGAATGTAAGGATGCCTCATCATTTGATGGAAATGAAAATTATCAACCTATAGAGGACTGAATGCAGACACCCTGAAAATCAAAGTAAAAAAATGATGCAGTAACTCAAAATGGTATTCAGTAGTTTGTATGCTTGTAGCATGCCTGACAATGTCGGGGCATGCTCCTGAGACGATGGATGGTGTCCTGGGATATTTCCTCCTACGTGTGGACCAGGGAGTCGCTAAGCTCCTGGACAGTCTGAGGTGCAACCTGGCGGTGTCAGATGAACCAAACCATATCCCAGAGGTGTTCTATTGGATTTAGGTCAGGTGAGCGTGGGGGCCAGTCAGTGGTATCAATTCCTTCATCCTCCAGAAACTGCCTGCATACTCTTGCCACGTGAGGCTGGGCATTGTCATGTACCAGGAGGAACCCAGGACCCACTGCGCCAACATAGGGTCTGACAGTGGGTCCAAGGATTTCATCCCGATACCTAATAGCAGTCAGGGTGCCATCGTCTAACCTGTAGAGGTCTGTGCGTAGGGGTCATGCATATGCCTCCCCAGACCATCACTGACCGACCATCAACACGGTCATAGTAAACAATGTTACAGGCAGCATAATGTTCTCCGGACTTTTTCAAATCTGTCACGTGCTCAGGGTGAACCTGCTCTCATCTGTGAAAAGCACAGGGTGCCAGTGGTGGACCTGCCAATTCTGGTGGTAAATGGCAAATGCCAGTCAAGCTCTATGGTGCTGGGCAGTGAGCACAGGGCCCACTAGAGGACATATGGCCCTTAGGCCACCCTCATGAAGTCTGTTTCTGATTGGTCAGAGACATTCACACCAGTGGTGTAGTGAAAATCACTAGGTTATAGATAAAAAAAATGGTGCATAATCTTCTGGTGCCAAATAAATTGTTCCATGCAGATTCTTTGTGCTCCTCCACCAAAGAATCTGCACTCACCAACCATCCATGACCTCTTAATTAACCTCCCTGATGGTATTCCCGAGTGTAGCTCGGGGTAAAGTTTCAGTACCAAAAGCGGTAACCCCGAGCTACACTCGGGTTTACCATGCGGCGCTCCCGCGATGTTCCTCTTGCAGTGTCCCCGGCATTGTAATCCGGTGGATGCCGGCATCTGTCATCTGAGTTCCGTCCCCTGCGAGCGTCGGGACGTACGGGGGACGGAACAGGCGGGAAATTTGAAAATGACAAAAAGTGACATTCACTAAATACACTAAAATCACATAGTAAAACATTACTGTATCAAAGCATTTCACACACATACATAGTGCTTTGTCCTGTGCCCTGCCTACATTTTTACTGTTCTTATTGCCTGGAAACTGAGAAACGCCCATGGCGTCCAAAAAGTGTCCCTGTAGGTCAAAATCGGTTTTAGACCAGTTAGAGAACAGCGATAGTAAATTAGAACCACTTGCAGAATTGAGTGATAATGATTCATGGGGAAACTCGTCATCAGACACTGAAAACGATTTTGCGACTTTGCTCAGTGATGTGCGAACTTGGCGCTATATTTCAAATTTCAGTGTTTTTGGTTTGATTATATTATTGAATTAAATTTATTATTATATTATTATTTTTTATGATTATTAAATTATAATTTATGATTTTGTGTTTCAAATTTTAACATACCCGGGATGTTTACTAGACTCTTGTTCGGATAGATGTCAGTGAGTTATTCCTAAAAATTACAGGCCTACAATAAAAAAAATACATATTTCCATGCAAAAAAATGTACCGCTTTGAGCACAGAAATATGGACATAATCAGACCGCTAGGGAGGTTAAAAGGTCTAATGTGCTTTGTGTCCCCAAGTGCCATCCTCTAGCCTGTAGAGGTCTGTGCATAGGGGCCATGGATATGCCTCCCCAGACCATCACTGACCCACCACCAACATGGTCATACTGAACGATGTTACAGGCAGCATAACGTTCTCCAGAACATCAGTGTAAATTTCAATTTACTCCATAGCCAAGGTTAGCAAGAATCCAGGAGAAATGTCAAGAGCTTCCTGAAGATGCCTTGTAGACAAAGCACGTAGAGGCAGAATCGCATCAAGCCACATGCTGACTGCCCTGTCGAGCGGTGCTAGCATCCTGAGCTGAGTGTATTAGTGCTGAGGATTTATTTTTTTAAATAAACCTACTATACTATAAGACATTTCTCCTGATTCTTGCTAACCTTGGCTATGGAGTAAATTGGGAGACCACTGAGAAGGTATACACTGATGTTCCAAACTCTTAGGGACACAAAGCGCATTAGACCTTTTAATTAAGTGGTCATGCATGGTTAGTGAGTACAATATGGTGGTGGAGCACAAACGATCTGCATGGAGCAATTTACACCTTGGTCACATCAAAGCCGATTTTGAAATCGTGCGGCTTACAGTGTAATTGCACGATTTCAAAGTCAGGTGACTTGGCAATTTGAGGTGCAATTTGCAAGACATCTGCCACATACAGTATGTCTATGCAAATCGCACCAAAAGTAGTGCATGCACTACTTTAGAAATTGGTGCTGCTTCGACCAAGTCAGAACCGCACCAATATGACTGCTCTAATACGATTTGTAAGTCGTAGGGCATGCAAATTGCATGCCAAGTCGCACCCGATGTAACAGAGGGGTTATTTGGCACCAGAAGATTATGCACCATTGTTTTTGATCTACAACCTGGTATGGGACTTCTGTTTTTTGTTTTTGTTCTGGACTTTGGACTCAATTTATATCTCTTTTAGGTTTTTCCATGTTTCTAGCACAGTTGGAATATTGTTCACCTTATATTATTATCTGATTAAAAAGTGTTCCTTTATGTTTTGGGCAGTGTATAATTTGAAAAAAAAAAACGTTTTTTGTTATAACATTTTGTGATTTTTCTCCTTCACTGATGTACGCTAATGAGGCTGTAGTGATGGCCACTGATAAGATGCACTGATGGATGCTGATAGGTGGCACTGATGGGCACAGATGAGGAGGCACTGGTAGGTGGCACTGATGGGCATTGACAGGCATCACTGACGGGCACTATAAGGCAGCACTGATAGGCGGCACTGACTGTCACTGTTAGGCAGCACTGATTGGCACTGATGGGTGACAATGAAAGGCAGCTCAGATGGGCACTGATATATGGCATTGATGTGCACTGGTAGGCACTGATATGTGGCACTGATGGGCACTGGCAGGTGGCACTGTTCAGCACTGACAGCTGGCACTGATGGACACTGACAGGTGGCACTTCTGGGGCCACACTGATCATCAGTGCCCTGATGATCAGTGTACATGTCCCCTCCGCGGAATGCCGATTATCGGCTCTCCTCTCGAGCTGTCAGCGTGACAGCTCGAGAGGAGAGAAATGCCGATAACCGGCATTTCCCTGTTTACATGTGATCAGCTGTGATTGGACACAGCTGATCACATCACTGAGCCGACATCTACGTCTCTTTCCGTGGATCGGTGATCCGCTGTGTCCCCTGTGCTCCCTGAGCCGCGCATGCACGGTGAAAATGGAAGGACGTCATATGACGTCCTATCAGAACAAGAGAACCACCTTGCACCCGTCATTGGACTATATGGCGGGCGGAAGGTGGTTAGTCGTCCATGGTTAGTGAGCGCAATATGGTGGTGGAGCACAAACGATCTGCATGGAGCAATTTACACCCTGGTCACATCAAAGCCGATTTTGAAATCATGCGTCTTTCAAAGTCAGGTGACTGCCGATTTGAGGTGCGATTTGCAAGACATCAGACACAGATGTCTATGCAAATCACACCAAAAGTAGTGCATGCACTACTTTAGAAATCGGTGCAGCTCCGACCAAGTTGGAACCCCACCAATATGACTGCTCTAATAGCGGACGATTGGGTGTGACTTGGCATGCAATTTACACACTATGTGACCGGGGTGTTATTTGGCACCAGAAGATTATGCACCATTGTTTTTGATGTGTGCTTGCAGCTGCCAGTGGGACGGAAAGGAGGGAATAACTACAGGGGTGGAGGCACACAGAGGGGCCAGGGCAGCAGGGATAAACATATGGTGCAGAGGGAGGGGAAGGGTGTTGCGGGGGCAATTACTGGAAATGATCCCCTGTATGTTTCTCCCTACAGCAGCTGAAAGCCAGCGGGAGGGAGAAGAGAAGAATCCAGCTTTCAGCTGTTGCAGAGAGCCATACAGGGGATCGGTTCCAATAATTGCCCCCTCACTGTGCCAATAGCCCTCCCTGCCCACATCCAATTCACCCAGTTGCCTGAGCTCCCCTGCTGGTCTGGGCCCTGTACAGGAGGACTGGTGGTACCCCCTCATCTACAGCCCTGGGTAATATGAAGAGATCCAAGCTTATTAGTATAGTTTTCCAACTTTCTAACTGGAAGAGATACCAATGTGCAGGTATAATTACACAGTCGGACTACAGAATCATCTAAAAACAAAAACTCCTTATAAATCCACTTGTTCATGTCAGTCTTGCTTAGCCCCAGTCACAACTACCTGCATGGATAAAATAGTTCAGCAAAATGGATCTTAGCTCTCCTTTATCTAGTTCTCTGGGCCTCCCAGGGCCACCCATAAGCACGACCGGGAAGCACACGGATTGACATTGGTTGGAAAAGGAGGGTGGTCCTTTTCCCATCAGCAAATGACCAAATAAATGTTAAAAAGTCAGGATCTCCAGCCCTCACCAAATAGGAAGAAGGCTGTGAAAGTCCACATTGTGTGCTACCTTAACCCCCCCCCCCCTTCACAAAATAATAATAATGTTTTTAAAATTCACCCCTCAAAGGCAAACGGAAGCGATGGTCTCGTGTCAGTATGTAAACAGAGATTGCACCATGCATGTGCACTGTGAAGTACAGATCTAGGGTAGTAATTCCAGCACCAGACTTCCCATGTAAATCTAAAAGTGGTAATCTGTAAAAGCTTTTAAAACGTTGCCTATGGATATTAAAAATGTACAGTTTGTCACCGTTGTGCCGATGTGCGCAATTTTAAAGCATATCATATTTGGTATCTACTGTATATACTCGGTGTAACATCTTTTATATTATATCAAACAATTGGACACTATGTTGTGTTTTTGTGCGTAAAACTTGTAAAATTAATTTTTTCTAAAACAATTTGTTTGAAAAATCGCTGTGCAAATACGGTGAGACACCCACTGTTTTATTCTCTAGGGTTTCTGCATTAATAAAATATATAGTGTTTGAGTGTTCAAAATAATTTTCAAGCAAAAAATGTGTCAAGAAAGACTTCGTCTACAAGTGGTTTGAAGAGTGTGGCATAAGCTTCTAATGTTGGCAAGAAAATGATAGGCTGCTCAGCTAAAATGATCGCAAATGTTTTAAAATGGAAACCAAAAACCTGAAAGACGTGGAAGAAAGCGAAAAACTACCATTTGAATGAATAGAAGAATAGCCAAAATAGCCAATAATCAGCTCCAGGAAGATCAAAGAAGGTCTAAAGTTACCTGTGAGTACTGTTACAATTAGAAGACACCTATGTGAAGCCAAGCTATCTTCAAGAAGCCCACTGTTTTCCACTGTTGAAAAAAAGATGTGCTGAAGAGGTTACAATTTGCCATAAAGCACATTGACTGGCCTAAAGAGAAATGGTGCAACATTTTGTGGACTGATGAAAGTAAGATTGTTCTTTTTGGGTCTAGTGGCCGGAGACAGTTTGTCAGACGACCCCCAAACACTGAATTCAAGCCACAGTACACTGTGAAGACAGTGAAGCATGGTTGCGCAAGCATCATGATATGGGGATGTTTCTCATACTACGGTGTTGGGCCTATTTATCGCATACCAGGGATCATGGATCAGTTTGAATACATCAGAATACTTGAAGAGGTCATGCTGCCTTATGTTGAAGAGGAAATGCCCTTGAAATGAGTGTTCCAACAAGACAATGACCCCAAACACACCAGTAAACGTGCAACATCTTGGTTCCAGACCAACAAGATTGACGTTATGGAGTGGCCAGCCCAATCCCCGGATCTTAATCCAATAGAAAACTTGTGGGGTGACAACAAAAATGCAGTTTCTGAGGCAAAACCAAGAAATAGAGAAGAACTGTGGAATGTAGTCCAATCATCCTGGGCTGGAATACCTGTTCACAGGTGCCAGAAGTTGTTTGACTCCATGCAACATAGATATACAGCAGTTCTCAGAAACAGTGGTTATACAACTAAATATTAAGTGATTCAAAGGAAAGCAAAATCTTCAAACATTTTTTCAGTTTATATAGTGAATGTTTGAGTTTGTAAAGAAGAATACAAACACTGCTATTTTTTTGAACTATCTAACATTCACTTTTCTTAAATTTTTGTAGAGGAACAACACAAATTTGATATATTTTTCTTCATGTTTTGATTTGGAATAGAATGTGTAGTGTTCCCAATGCATTTGTGTGTATGGAAATAAAAGCTATTAGAAGGATTTTGAGCTTTATTCACTTTTTTCAACACACTGCTATTATTATTTTGAACACAACTGTAATTGCTTCCTGACTGCCCTATAGCAGAAATACTGCTACAGGGAGGCTCGGGTGCGCAAATTCACGTATTCGCGCTCCCATAGTTTCCCAGATAGCATCAGATTGCCCGTCAGTACACCAGTAATCACATTTAACCCCTTGATTGCCAGGAACACGCTCATACACAATAAACCTCTATTGCTAGTATAGTGTCTGAACGGATCAATATCTTTGATCAGATCAGCACTATACCAGCATTCACATTAGTATAGTGTCCCCAAAAATGCAACGTTAGCAGGATCAGCCCCGGCACCTTCCAGCACCTGCGCTTACCCCCCTTCTCCCCCAGCAAGTGCAGTGTCAGTAGGTAACTGTCATTGCACACAAAACCGCAGTGTTTGCAGAGTCAGGCCTGATCTGCTTGCACTTGCCAGTAAATTTTGATGGCTCTCATATGCAGCAGAGTGCTAGTACTAGCACTAGTGCCACACTACCTTTTGGTGAATTGGCGAGCACCAGTGGCCTAGTACATCCTGGTCTTTCACATACCAGCACTGCAGTATCACTTGGTGACGTGGCAAGTCCAGGGGCGGGACTGACAACTCATGGGGCCCCCGGGCAATAGGAGATCATGGGGCCCCTGTGTCCTTGCCCACACTCAAAGCACACCAAAAAAGCCTATAAAAAAAGGTATCAGGGGCATTTCATGGGGCCCCCTACTGACCCTGGGCCCTCGGCAGTGCCCGAGTTTTCGAATGGTCAGTCCACCCCTGGGCGAGTCCCATAAGCGTAGTACAAGCTGGTGCAGTGGTGAGCACAAGTATTGTCCCACAACCACCAAGAATTTGCACACAGGCCTGTAGAGCCCCTATTATCCTTCCGGATGTGCTTGCAAATCCCGATTGGCAGCCCCAAATTCTGCAGCACCCATACTTCCCTCATTCACTGCCCAACCGGAATTCAGGTGGAAACAGCAAATTTATTCCCTATTCCCCTTGATTTTTTGGAGCTGTTGTTCACGGAAGATCTGTATGCATTGATTGTGGATCAAAGCAATGTATATGCACAACAATTTTATCGCCGCCAACCCAAATTCAAACCTTGCCAGACCATTCGCATGGAAAACTCATTACGGTTTCCAAATTTATATTTTTTTGGGACCTGCCCTCAACATGGGCATTACTAAAAGAAATGAATTGCGCTTGTATTGGTCCACACAGACCCGATTCATCATATGCCCGTGTTCTCTGCTGCCATGGCCAGGCATAGATATGAGAGTATAATGTGTTTTATGCATTTCAATGAAAATACACTCTGTTGTCCTCAAGGTGACCCTGAATTTGACCGTCTCCACAAAATTCAGCCCCTCATAAATCACCTTAACCAAAAATTTGCGGATGTCTATATTCCGCAGCAAAAAATCTGCGTTGATGAGTCCCTCATTAATTTTTCTGGCTGCCTTACATTCAAACAATTTCTCTCCCCCAGCAAGTGTGCCAGATATGGGGTCAAGATGTAGAAGAGCTGTGAGAAGGCAACAGGCTATACTTATAAGTTTCGGATTTATGAGGGGAAAGATAGTCATGTGGAGCCCCCTGGATGCCCAGACTACATGGGGAGCAGTGGCAAGATAGTTTGGGACTTGGTGTCATCCTTTTTACATATGGGGTACCACTTATACGTGGACAATTTTTATTCAAGCGTGCCACTATTTAGACATTTGTACAAACTTGGAACTGGCGCATGTGGCACCGTGAAACCTAATGTGTGTCCACCATTAGAAGTGGGTGGATGCAGGGAGGTATATTCTAATGGTGGGCATACCACACACTTTTTCTGGCAGAGATTTCTTCTCTTTTTTTCATTCAGCTGCAAACGTCTACAAACTATTGTGAACACTAAAACTTTCACACAAAGCAATCAATATACACTTATTTGGATTTTTTTTACCAAAAACATGTAGCAGAATACATTTTGGCCTAAATTTATAACTAGCTTTACGTTTACTAT